GCTCATTTTCTTTGGGGTTCTTATGTCTTTAATAAGAAAAGCACAAAGATCCCATTTGAAAACCATATCTGTCAATCTATCAATATAGCATGATTCTGGCTGGACTCGGGTATGGAGACTGGCCTCTCACCAAGCCCACTCTTGCTTCACTGGGGTATGGAAGGAAGTTCAGTGTTCCATGGAATGGCTTCAAAAATCAGTGTGTCAAAAACAAGCTTAGGGGCTACAGAACTCTTATACTAAAGAGAATTTAAAAGCCTCTGCATAATATTTTCAAAGACAAATTGTTCCTTGCTTCTCCCCAGGTGAGGTGGTAGGTGGCCATGAAGGCAGGAACAGCCCAAGTGAGCAGTGGCCATGTGGCACATCTCCCTCTCCTCACTGACCCTGTATGGCTATGTCCAAGGATGCCATGGGGTGAGCCAACCTCAGGCCACTCACATGTGGATCCATTTCTGCAGCGTGTCTCTCAAGTACTCCTGGCTGATGGGATGTGCAAGGGTTCGGAGTGCTGGCTGGAACTCGATGACGGATGCTGGCAGGCGTCTGAACCAGCTGCAGAGCTTCATCTCCCCTTTCAGAACACTGATGCCCTTTCCTAGAGAAAAGGCCACGTGAGAAGCAACCCAGGCCATACTTTGAATAGTATATTAAAAATGGACCTAGAAGAAATTTCCAAAAATTATTTCATTTTTCTCTGGGTAAGTCAAACAACCCCTGAAATAGGGAGAAAAAGAAGGTATAGCATGCGTCCAGACCTTCCCTCATCAAGGGGTGTGGCAGCTTCTCTAAGCTATTGGTTGAAAAGAATGGCAAAGGTCAGGAAGGGAAGGAATCAGGTAGAAAGAGCAGAGGGGAAAAAATGAGTGCTGAACAGTCCTTATCTTTGGGTTTTTTCCCTTGAGGTGAGGTCTCATTATATTGCTCGGGCTGGCCTTAAACTCTGGACCTCAGAGGTCTTCCTGCTTCAGCCTCCTACACACCTGGGACTAGAGGTGTATGCCACCATGCCTGGCAGTTCTTGACATTTTAAAAAGTAGAACTTAAGTTTTCATGAAAGTATAAGCTGGTTGTTTCCCTTTCCTCCTCCTCCTCCTGCTTCCCTTGAGGATCTAAGTGGAGAAGTGCTGACTGCCCACCTTGATGAGTGAGTCGCCTGCAGCTCTGCAGAGGCCTGTGCTGTACAGTGCTGCTCACTGATTTTGTGCACAAGGCCCTTCTGCAGTCCCTTGTACTTCTGTTTTCCAATGTCATGACGGATTAGCCGATACTCACCTTTAGTGACTATTAAAATATTGAATGTAAGCAGCTGGAGGGAAACCAAGGCATGAGAAGTGGTGCCTTTGCTGAGAGGCAAAGTTACTCAAAGATGGCCCCATGACACTCCTGTCCCCCTCTGGAAATGACCAGCTAGCCATAACAATACTCCATTCCACCTTTGTCTCTATTTCCTCAGTCTATTTTGCTGACACCTCCACCTGATCTTGGAGTCCTAGAGTTCCATGAGGGACCATCTTCCATCATTTTCTTTGCTTACTGATGGTGGCATCCATTCTCATGGCTTAAAATAACTGCCACAGGCAGAAGCACTGCATGTAGTGTCCATCTAGCCCTTGCACTGCTATGTTCTGAGCCCAATCACCCTCTCATTCCCTAGTTCCATTCCAAGGTCTCAGTTGTCTCCAAGGTGAGATTTTCATGTGAACTATCACCAGTCCCTTCAAACCAGTTCCTTTGGATACCTCCCTTCCCATACCCTATACACCCTATACATCACCAAATCCCTCCTCAACAGATATCTGGGCTGTCCAATGAGTTCCATCTCTATGCTCCCTCCTAACCCATGTTCCAGTGGCTGAACCCTAGACCACAGTGACAGCCTTCTAAGTGAGTTCAGCATCCCTTACCCCATGGGACTCTACTACTTACTACATAAAAGCCAGTGCATTTATTTAATTACAGTTGGGACAAATGCTAACCAAAGATGTAAGGGATGTGTGGGAAATAGAAGGACCATACCAAGCTTAGAAAGTCTCTGAAGGCTGGCCACTATTCTCTGGTTAGAGTCCAAACTCAAGCTTGGCCCATAAGGCTTAGCATTACCTGGCCCCAGTTCCTTCTCCTGCTATCTTCCTTGTCACCCACTAAACCTCAGCCTCACTGGCTTTCTTTAGTTCCTCAATACACTAACATCCTCCTTACCTCAGGATTCTGCACACCCTGTCCCTTTGCCCAGGACTCTCTTCCTGTAGTCTTCACCTAAATAACTCTAATTCAACCTTCAGCTTTGAGTTTAAAGACCATTTCACCTGGGAGGCCATCTCTGAACTTGGTGAGTTCCTTCCATTCAGTGTTCCCAAAGCATCTTGTACTGTGCATTAACAGCACTGACCAGTGTTGACTCACACTTCTGAGTTCAGTACTTGCCTTACTAGACCGTGACCTCCATAAAGGGAGAGTCCATATTTGTCCAGTTCACTATGCTATCCCTAGAGCTTTAGCACATGGCTGGGTAGTTGAATGGACCAGGAGAAACGGCTGGTTACGAGCTCACCAGTAGGTTGCTGGCCTGTGATGGTCTCCAGAGTAGAGAAGAGCAAGCCACACGGCAGGGATGGATCTGGCAGCAGATCTTCTGGCAAAGTGTAGAAAAGGGCATGAGCCTGGTTCAAAGTGGTGGCCAGCAACTCCACTAAAGAGCAAATCTGGGCCTTGATGCCAGCACCTATGAGAAGATGTCATCTTTTAAATAGTTTTCTTTTAGTAAAGAACAGATCAGGGCTGGGGGTGTAGTTCAGTGGTAGAGTGCTGGCCAAGCACATGTGAGGCACTGAGTTCAACCTTCCACACCACATCAAAATAAATAAATAAAGGTATTGTGCTCATCTAAGACAAAAAAAAAAAAAAAGAAATTAAAAAAAAAAAAACAGATCACTCTGGATACCTCAGTTTCCCTGAGCTCACCCTTCTCCATCCCATGCTTAAGGAAAAAACTTTGGAAAGAAGCCACACCCACCATGGTGTGGCTGGTTGAGAAGTTTCTGAATAGTTGTCTTTCTGGCCAACAGGAAGTCGGTGAGGGCTTGGCGGGGAGAACTCTCTTCTAAGAGCATTATAGAGCAGAGGGCCTCAGCTATAGCTTGGTCAGACACAGCTTGGCATTTGAGTAGCATCTTGCTTTCGTGCAGAATGGTTGATCTAACAAGATGACAAAGGTCAACATTGAAATTTTTACCATCTTGAATGAAAAGCCATGGAAAGAAAGAAGACAGATCCCATAAAACTGTAGTGATGAGGCCTGGCCACCACAGAGATCTTTATGTCAGATACACTTACCGGAAGTGGCTGGCTGCTGCTACCTGCCGGATAAGTATAGGAAATCGGGAAAGGATGGGGTTGTATCGGGAACTAGAAGAATCCAGCTGGAGCAGACTGTGAAGATGGCAGCAGAGCAGGTAGAGCTGTGTGGCATGGAGATACTGAGAGGCTTCCATGAAGCTCCAGATCTTCTCAGGGATTTCTAAGAGTAGTTTGATCTGGGCAGCCATGCTGTAGAACTTCTCCTGGGATGGTGGCTGTGGCTGTAGGAAAGGGCAGAATAAAGTAAGAAAAGCAAACAAGAGCAAGGTCAGTGTCCTGCACTTGGGGAGTTTTAGGACTTAAAATTTTCTTTAAGTTGAACTCAGTGCTATTCAGAAGGCATCAGGTCTGATGAAAACCTGTATCTGGCCCTCTGGTTATCAGTGATTCTCTTGACTTCTTGAAATCAGGGAGGGGGTGGTTAATCATGGGTGAGTTTCCTCCTTCCTTCCCTGGTGTCCAGCCTTCCTACTGTTTTCCCTGCTTCTGTGAAGGGCACTATGCGCTTGGCTGACTGCTCTTTTTCACCAACCCTGCACCAAATATTTGTCGGCTTCAGTCTTCAGTCCTCTCCTCTTCCCATCTACCTGCTCACTTCAAGCATTCCCCCATGAAGGGACTGGTGCCCTATAAAAGGGCTAGAGAAAATTAGCCTAGCCCCTTTTAAAAAAAACTCTTGTGCTTTCTGCCATGTGACGGTGCAGCAGGAGGATCCTCACCACATATCAAATGCCAACATCTTGACTTTGGACTTCCCAGGCCCTAGAACTGTGAGAAAAGTATGTCATCATGAATTACCCAATCCCAAGTATGTTGTTAATAGCAGCATACTGGCCTACAACAGCCACACTGCAAATCTCATCTGTCCTTAAGAATCCTCAGTAAGACACTGAGAAACCTACAGTTACTTCCTTCAGAACTGTTAAAGTAAATGGACACAATTATTTTGGGAATTAGTCACCTTTACCTTAAAATGTTTTCAACTGCTCTTCTAAATTATTTACATTTTTCCTGACAACTTTCCATGGCTTTATTTCCTTGCCTAGAATGTAAGCTTCTTCAGAGCAGGAATTGGGTGAAGTGAACAGAGAAGGTTCTCAAATTTTGTGTTTGACCAAGAATAAATTAGATATAACTATGAAAATCAATACATTTCCAAAATCAGGCATAATACCCGTTGGCCTTTTAATAAGCCTGGAAACTCGCCTCAGTCACAGCCAAGTCTGGCTGTGTGTGTGGGGGGGCATAGCTTAGGGAGGGGTGGGGTCACTGATTTAAAAAGCACAAGGGCTTTCCAACCTTCCGTGTATTGTTCTAGAGTGATACCCCAGTCTGCTGGCCTGGATTTCTCTGGAACTCGGGGAACATGAGAAAGTTTGAAACGGGAGCTGACTATACTTTGGCGTGTCTTCTTCCATGTTGCAGGAAGCCTCTCCCAGGTTATGACCGAGTTCCCTGTTAACCTGTTCTACCCTCTACGCTCTTCTGCTTGGTTCATCCCTAGGTCGCCCTTCTTTAAGGAGGCAGGCTGCTGCTGCTCAGGATGTCCACCGCCCGTCCTTCCACATGGGGTGTGAACATTGGCGTGGGGGACGAAGTCAGGATGGCCTAACCGAGCCTGCGTTCCCTGGGATGAAAACGTTCGCGCCCGAGGGCGAGGGCCTGGCGCTGGGCGGCCCTCCAACCCCGCAGGGCTGGGGCAGCTCTTCGGCCCTGGGGAAGGTGCTGGGGGCGGGACGCGGGGAGAGGCATCTGCTCCCTGAAACCCGGCGTCCGGAGGCGGGGTGCGCGGCGGAGCCGAGCCGTCGGGAGACCCCTTGCGTCCCTGCGAGACAGAGTGAGCGTGGCGAGGACGCACGGCCCGAGCGAGCGCCCCGGCCGGCGGCTCCGGGAAGGTGAGGGCGCGGGGGGCGGGCGCACCTGCGGAGCGCGCGGGGGCCGCGGCCAGCCGGCCTGGCGCAGGCGGGCGCAGTACTGGTCGGTGGCCTTCACGGCGTCCACCAGCCCCTCAGCGCAGCGGCGCATCTGCCCGATGGTGTCGGCCGCCTCGATCAGGTCGCGGTACCGCTCTCCCACCATCTGCCGCAGCTCCTCCTTCTTGTGCTCGATCTCGGCCCGAACCTGGCGCTCCAGCCCGCGGATCTCCTCAGCCCCATGAGTCTCGAAAAGCGCCGCAGGGTCCCGCAGATCCAGTCGCTTCAACGCGGGGGAGGCGGCCGCAGCCGCCATGGTGGACCGGTCAGCCGGCCGACGGCCGCTTCCGCTGCCAGCCCCGCCCCGCCGCCATCTTTGATAGGGGCGGCCGAGCTTCCGCTCCGCCGGGAGCCATGTTTGTTCCGGGCTTACGGGGCTGAGGGGCGGGCGGGCGCGGCGGAGCGGTGACGGCCCTCTGCGTTTTCTCAGGAGGTCTGGGCTGTTGAGCGGGTGTCGGGGTCGCCCGGGTGCCAGCTGGTCAGAGCCTTACGGCGACCTGGGGTCTTTCGTCCTTGGAGAAGAGCTTTGCGGTCGAGTTAGTTAATAAGCTCGAGATTAACGTAATTAATGTAGTTATCGTAATTAAAGGCGGCCTGACGGCGACGCCTCGGCGCTCGCCTCTGCAGGGCGGTCGCAGCGCCGGGGCGGGTTCTCGCGCCCTGCGACCGCGCACCTCCTTCCCCGCGGCGAGCTGGAGCGCGCGGGCTGCGGGCCCGACCTGGCCGGTCCCCTCCAGGGCAGCCGGGGAAGAGCAGAGCCGCCCCTGCTCGTGGGCATGCTCGGCCTCAGAGAAGGCCCTGCAGGGCGGCCTGGTGCCGTCGGGCGTCTGCGGCCCTGTCACGGGGGCTCCCCGCCGTCCGTGTGTAGCCCCCAGAGGTGTGTCCGCCGCAGCCTCCCGCAGGGAAGGAGGGCCGTGGGCCGAAGACCGCACTGCCTGCCAGGGATGGGGTGAGGACCCTAGTGCTGACCCAGGTCCATGGAACAGGAGGCCGTTGGTCACCTTCTCCCAAGCCAGAGTTTATCCTGGAGATTTCGTGGTCACGAGAAGAGGTGCCCACTACAGTGTCTGTCTCATGGTCAGGGCATCTACAGCCCTCCCAATTTCCTCTCCCACCCACCGCGTCCGTTATTTTGAGGTAAATCCCAGACATCAAAAATCAGTAAGTAATAAGGTTGTGATATTCTAATGTCCCTCTCCGCACCCCTGCCACGTGGGGAGTGGCATTCTCACCTTTCAAATGGTTAACCCAAGGCTGAGAGACAAAGGGACTTACACAATACAGTTCTCAAAGCCTGTCCTCCGAATCATCTAATTTTATATACACATCAGCTCTGCAGTGTAGGTAGGAAAATATTCCTATTCTTTGCACCACTAAAACCAGAGAAGTTTATTTACCTGCCAAGCCACATAGTTTGTAAGTGACAAGTCAACACTTGTGCCTACTTTTTTTGGCTCTTAAGCTTTTTTACTTTCCCAATTTGCCCCAAACCTAGAACGCCCTCTGGTGGTGGGGCTGTGTTTCTGTAATCTCAGTCTGCTGGCCAGCATCTGCCAAATCTCTGTTTTGTGACTAGGGGATTCATGTCTGCCTGGCAAGATCTTTTCCCAGAACTCCTTATGGCTGTGGTGCAAGATTGTGCCTGGGACTTTAATGTCAAAGGCAAGGAGGAGGGTGGCAATTTCATTCTGCTGATTGGTGCTGGTAATCTCTGTAGCATCCACTCCCCAGCAGCAGCTCCCAAGTGCCAAATGTTGGAGACAGGTGTGGGTATCCACAAAGATGTCCTCCCCAGAATCACCCTGTGCCATGCTTCAGGCTCTAAATCAAAAAACATTCCTTTGTTCCTACCTGTCCCCTTAACTGGTTCCCCAACATTCCCAGAATTTCCATGAGCTGTTCAATGTCTTGTGGATAAACTTCATTTCTTTAAAAATCAAAACTGTTGTATGTAGCTTGCCTTAGAGACTGACACCTGTCCCTGAGCTTCCACCTCTGTGTTTTCTGAGGTCTTTCCAACAGCATGTGGGGAAATGCCAAGATGTCAGAGTGTGGAGCCTGGGGCTTTGTGTGAGGTGGCTTGAACTTGTGCACAATACCTGCAATTTTCATGAAGAACTGAGGCCAGCTGCCAGATGATTGTCCTCACCCGCCAGTGTGTTCTAAAACCAAGGCTTGCTCTCCCTGCCTGTCTGCTGGTTTCCCTGGCCAAGTTCATCTGACTGCCCTGAAGATGCCACTGTTGCTCCTCTCCCAGCAGAACTGAACAGTGATGGAGGCTGTCGAGAACTTTCTTTTTCTGAGGCTTGGAGCAAATGTGCTCTTAGCTCCTGGCCCCAGAAGCCTCCTTTCCCTTCCCTTGCATCCTGAGAGCAGCCCTTCCTTCTGCACATCAGCCAGAGCTATCAAGGAATGGTCAAAGAGCTCATATGTATCAGCTGGGCCAAGCTCTGAGCTAGGGTCAGAGGAACAGAGATGAAGAACTAATCCTTGGGCTGGGGATGTGGCTCAAGCGGTAGCGCGCTCGCCTGGCATGCGTGCGGCCCGGGTTCGATCCTCAGCACCACATACCAACAAAGATGTTGTGTCTGCCGAGAACTAAAAAATAAATATTAAAAATTCTCTCTCTCCTCTCTCTCTCTCTCTCTCTCTCTCTCTCTCTCTTCTCTCACTCTCTCTTAAAAAAAAATTAATCCTTTTACTTAAGGTGTTAGGAGGTCCACAAGTATTGCTATAGTTTAGTCTTGGTGTAGAGATGAGTGCAGGTGTGTAATGAATGATTCTTCATGTCAGCCTGCCTTTCTTTTACTTAGATCTTTAGTTGCAGAATTAAACATGAGATGTTTAGCAGCTTACGTTTAGATCTTTCTGGGCCCCAAAATCAAGTCTAGTCATTCTGTTCATTATAACTATGATTTTGAGCATGTGGGCATCTGCACATAATAATAACAATAATACATAACACAATAACAATAATCCTAAGTGCAAGTAGGGTGGCAGTCATTGTATAGTTAAAACGAGGGTTCAGCAGGACCGGGTAACCTGTGGGAGGTCATAGAAGCAGGTCAACAGCCAGCCTGTCTTCAGATCGAAGTCAGCCTGACTCTAGAAGCCCTTGATCTTTCCACTGTGTTGCATGATTAGCTTCAAAGAAAATTTCAGAATATCAGGAGACACATGGCCCAGACAATTATGAGCAACGTTTAGATGGTTCCCAGGCTGCTGCCTGGCTGAGAGTGGGCCCCTAGTCATGCAGGCAATTTGGGGACTCAAGCTGGAGTGGATTGGCTAAGGGCTTGGGGGCAACTGTCACATGGGGTGGCCATGCTAGTAGCCAAGGGTGGGCATCCTGGAGAACTCTTTGAGAACTGGAGGTCCATTCTGGCATTTTTGCTTTTCCTAGGCCTGTCAGTGGAGACTGTCAGTATTATCTTATTCAGAATGTCGAGGGGACATACTCCTTGCTTTTTTTTTTTTTTTTAAGAGAGAGAATTTTTTTAATATTTATTTTTTAGTTTTCGGCAGACACAACATCTTTGTATGTGGTGCTGAGGACCGAACCTGGGCTGCATGCGTGCCAGGCAAGCTCGCTACCACTTGAGCCACATCCCCAGCCCAACTCCTTGCTTTTTAATAGAAACACAGAAAGTAAGCCAGAGTAATGCTTAAAATAGCAGAGTTTTGACATATTTGAATATCGACTGTCTTCCAAAGGCCCACGTTTTAAAGGCTTGGTTTCTAGGGTGGTACTTCAGGAGGTGGTTGGGCCTTTAAGAGGTGGCATCTGGTGGGAAGCCTTAGATCACTGGATGTGGTCCCCTGCTCCCCTTCTTGCTCCCTCTTTGCTTCATGGCCATGAGGTGCATGGCTTTGCCTTGCCACATGCTGCCCTGGCTCTTCACAGGCTCAAGGTGATGGCTCAACTGATCCTGGGCTGAAACCTCCAGAACTGAGCCGAAACAAACCATTTCTCTTATAAGTTGATGACCTCAGATGTTTGTCACAGTGACGGGTCACTGATAAATACAGGTGTGTAACAGGCTTTTGTAGGCACCACACATTCCTCCTTTGTGCAGGGTGTGGTCCATCATTGGGGAAAGGGTTCCATAGGCAGTGGTTCTGGTACCAAATAATTCAGCCCATATTTGCAAAATGTCATGCACATATGTGACATAATCACAGTATCTGCATAAAAGATGTGTTGGAAAAGGCATGTCTTCCAACACAACGTGCTTTTATATTTGAAATATTAAAAACAATTATCACCCGTATCCCACTCACTTAACCCTTGACCCTATGCTGCTTGGACACAAGGGGACTGCATGTTGGCATGTCCACATCTCGTCCCGGGCTCTGATGATGGAGGGAGCCGTGTTCTGTGGTAGAGTTGGGGCGGAGAGTGGGCTGGGCCACCCAGAGAAGAGATGACACACGGGAGACACAAAATCACTTAGGAAAATGAAAAGAAATCTAACTTCAGGAAGGGAGAAGGCTACAAAGGAAAACAGGAAAGGAATGTGATCACTAACGGGAAGGAGGGTGAGGAAGGTGGGAAACAGGTGCAGTAAAGGCCGGACCGTCAGTGGAAGTCACGTTGGGCTGGACCAAGGTGGAGATGTACACTACTGCCCCAAGGGGTTCAGATGTTTGGTGTTTCCCCCTGGTGAGATGCCAGTGGCATTGAGGGCATAATGTAGTTGTCTTGACATTTTATCTTTATGGCACTGTTTATCAGCCTGTGTCTACTGGAGGTGACATTTGTGGTAGAAGGGGTGGTTATTTGACTTCACTGTTTGTAGATACCTGAGACCCTGCCTTCTACAAACAGCCAGGCAGGCACTGCACCCGAGGAGGGAGCCTACAAGTCTGGCTTCACACCACCTCACCACCCTCACTCAAGGACCATGGCCAAGCTCATCCCCCAGATGCTGTGTCCTTCACTAGTGTGTAGCTGAGTCCCTTCTGTGTTGCCCAGCTCTGTGCTGGGGGACAGGGAACCAAGGGTGTTAACTGAAGCTCTGATTCCGCAGCAGGTGCTTCTTCTTCTCACCTTCTGTGTTGCCTGGTCCTCCCACCAGCCCACCCCAGCTGGTGGACTTGGTTTACATGTATTGAGAAAACAGGACTCAGCTGGGATGGCCTCGAGGTCCCTCCACTAAATCTGCCCACTTTCTCCCTTCTCTCATCACAGAAAGTGCTGCTGCTCCTCCAAGCTCTGCATGTGACCTTGGGCCCTCACCCTTCCCACCTCCCTAGGACCTCAAGTCCTCCTACACAGTCTTCTCCCTCTTAGGTAGGTCATTCCCATTATCTTAAAATGGTTCTCTAGGATCTTCCATGTTCCAAAAACATTGTACTGTCCGTGTGTCTCCCTTCCTTGTCCTGGTGAAGTGTCCTGGCCCTTTTGTCTCCACCTACTCTTCCACCCATTAGGTCGTCTGTACTACCACTGCGTCCACCGTGTCCACTGGAAGGCCTCTCTCTCCATCTTGCCAATTTCCTAGTAACTTCTGGACCTTCCTGGAGAGTTCAGCGGAGCTGACCTGCCCTCACGGTTGTGTGCTCCTCCTGAGGTCTGAGATTTTGTTTGGTTTGAATTTGTTTTGTGTCAAATGGGCCACCTGTGCCTTCCTCCTTCTCCAGGTACCACTTCTGCGTCCTCTTTGCTGCTCTTCTTTCTCTGCTTGACCTCTGCGAGGGCTGGGCCTGGGCTCTGGCTTTAGCACCAGCCTCTCCTCATCTGCATCCCTGGGTAGGTGACCTTGTCCCTTCTGTGGCCTTACAGGTTCGCTGCAGTGGCTCAGGGAGAAACTGACAGCCCTAAAGCGGAAAGGAGGAGCAGTTGTTTCTGAGGGACTCCTGCGGTGTCACTCTAGCCCCCAGCCCCTGGCTTGTACCTCCGCTGCCTCCTTGGATGTCCAAGAGGCATCTTCGACTTCACACGTCTAAAGTAAGAGCCCTCCTGCTACCTGACCCTCACCTGCAGGCCAGGCTGGCCTGTCTCAGCAATGACACCATCTCATTGTTTTGGCTAAAGCTCAGGAACCTTCAGGTTATTCACCTTCTCCCACCTTCTCTCACCCTCCATGCCCAGCCCAGACCTGTGGGTTCTTCCTCCAGAACCGAGGTCCATGAACCTTAGCTGTGAAGAGCCAGATGGTAATGGGCGTGCAGCCCCTGTGGGCACTGTGGCCACGATTCCATGAAGGCCGTTGTAGTGGAAGAGCAGCAGGGGACAGTATGTGAGCCATGGGCAGGGCTGTGTTCCAGTAAGACCTGCTGGACGAAAACAAGCCGGAGGCCAGTGTTGGCCTGTGGACCATCATCTGCTGGCTCCTGCTCTTTCTGTCCCCACTGTTGCCACTGTGGCTCAGACCTCCCATTCTCGTCAGAACCACTGCAGTTACCTTCTGATTCCCCACTTCTGCTCTCTCCTGCTCTAGTTTGCACTTCTCACCCTGACAGCTGAATCTTCTAACAGTGGAAACCAGATCTGGGCAGCCTCTGCATAAACCTCCAGCAGCTGCCCCTCCCTCTTGGCCTTGGGCAAACTGCAGTCAAAGACCATCACAGGCCCAGGCCTTCCCTCTTCTTACCCCCCATCCTCCGCCCTCCCTCAGCTCTAGCCTCCCTAGTCTTCTTTTCAGTCCCATAACACAAGGCTTGCCTCATTGCTTCCCAGGCCTTCAGGTTTGCTGTTGCTTCTGCCACATCTTCACAAGGATGTCACCTCCTCCAGGAAGCCTGCCTGGGCTACCCCAGTCTAAAGTAGTTAGCCACTACCATAAACCCTGAGTATGAACCACCTAGTTCCGTCCTCAAACACGCAAACCCTCATAGTTCTTATCTGCTTTACTGAGGAGGAAATTGGGGCCCAGGGAGGGTTTGTAATTTGCCTCCCATGATTGAGGAAGTAACAGAGCTGAAGTACAGCTGTCTGACTCTGGAGCCTGTGTCCTCAACCACCACTTTACTGCCCATATATTTTCAGTCATAGCATTTGTAACCATGTTGAAATTACAAGATCATTTATTTGTGCATTTTTTTTTGAATTGAGTTTCTCTCCCATAGCAAGAAGCAAACATGGTCTATCTTTAGTTTCACTGAGTTCCCAGCTTCTAGAACAGTTTCCGGCACATAGTAGACACTCGCTGTTTGTGAGTGCATGCATGATAATTTAATTTTGTAGTAATTTATTGGTATGCTAACAGCAAACCTGTAAATAGCTACACTATACCTTACCCTGTAATTTCTGAATGAGAGAAGGACGATTATGGGATTCTTTTACTCTGATCTCAAAAATGTTGCACTTGTTCATATTACTGTCTGACACAGCCCTCCACTCCCTCCCCCAATTATGTGACTTCATTGGTCTTTTGAATGTGGCCCATGGAATTAGGAATGACTCCTGTCTATTTGAACCTTCCTGTCTCTTAACTGGCCATTTGCGGGCAGCCCACAAGTCTGTTCACACTCCTTTGTTCTCCCTGACATCAATGCTGAATGCAGTGTCAATTTCAGGGGAGGGGGTCCCCGGCAACCTGCTTCAACTTGATGACAGAGATCTCTCTAGAGAGCAGCTTTGTTCCAGTGATGCTGCCCTCGCCGTATCTAGACAAATGCCGCCTCCCCCTGGCAGCCACAGCCACCACCCGAGAATCCTCACCTTTGATGATAAATTGTCTGTGGGACATTTTCATCTTGGGCCCAGCAGGACTGGAGGAAGAGCTGGGAGGCAGCAGAGTTGGGTCCACCTTTCCTTGGGGTGAGCAGTCGGCAGGACCACGCTTCATGCTGGTGTTCACACCCCAGCACTGAACGCATCAGCTAGGAACGTGTTTGGCACCTCCACAGTTCAAAGACCAGGACCAGGATTCAGGTCTGTGAGTAAACTGCCGCGCTTCAGCGGCTCGATGTCTGCCTTCTGCGTGGATCTGCCTGCGATTGTATCTGAGTTGTGAATTTTGTTTTGTTTGGTTTGAATTTGTTATGTTTTGTTTTGTGGTTTATCAGGTAAATCAGAAGTGTCAAATGTTCTTGGACAAATCTGGATGATGAAAAAATATGAATCCTGGGACATGAGAAAATTCGTAGTTTGGATCCTTTGTAAATAGTGTTTTGGGGAAATGCGACCAGTGGATGAAGTGGTGTTGAATAGCCTGGTCAGTCATTCATAAGCTTTAGGTATAGGATGGGGACTTGCAAAGTCTCTTACTAGACCTTCAAATTTGAGAAGTTGTGCAGGTGAGTTTAAGTCTTGTAGAGACACATGAAACAGGATTCTGTGATGTCCAGGCCTGAAGTGGAATTGAGTCTTGGGACTGTGACGACCTGCACGCTGTGTGTGTGGCTGCAGGTCTTGCCCGTCATTTCTTTTGCAGCTCCCAGCAGTGCCTGGTTATTTCTGAGAACCTTTGGATTTAGATCACCTGTAACAAGGGAATGCCCAAGGGCCTCTCACTTGCACTTGTATCTTGGTGAAATTTCTAACAACTCTGCTCCAGCTATTCTAATAAAGCATCAGCGTCTTTAGGAGGGCTGGGCTTGCTGTGTACGTTGGCACACACCTGTAATCCCAGCCATATAGGAGACTGAGGCAGGAGGATCACAAGTTTGAGGCCAGCCTCAGCAACTTTGCAGGGCACTAATTAATTTAGCAAGACCCTGTTTCAGAATTAAAAAAAGGTCTGGGATGTGACTCAGTGGTCAAGTGCCCCTGGGTTCAATCCCCAGTTACCCCCTGCCCTAAATAAAAGAGTGCTGGGATTCTGAGTTGGGGGCAGTAGACAATGGGACGATGGGGTGTTGTGTGCTCCCATGTGCCCCGCCCCCATCCACATGTTATCCCTTTCGGCTCTATGCCCTGAGTCTGCCTCGCTGGCTCTAGTTGAGTTCATCCTTGGGCCAAAGGGTCCACTGTGATTCTGACAGGTGCTGAAGCATGTAACCTTGCCCTAGCTCTGGCTCACTCTGGGCTCTGGTGTCATTATTCCCTCTACTTCTGCTCTGGGACTCTCTTACCTAGCCTCCAGGTCCCTGTCCACCCTTGCTGCTGGCTTCACATTGCCCACACCTCTGTAAGTGGCTCCCTCAGTTCACAGGTTTCTCTTGAGTGTGCCATCTGCTTCCAGCTGGACCTGCAAGTGACACAGATGGCCCTAGGCCTGGATGCACGCCGTCATCCTCTCCTTCTGGTTGGCACCAGGCCCAGGCCAGCCGCGGTCCCACACTGGGGGAGGATAAACGGCTCAGCGATTTGTAACATGCCATGAGCTACCCAGTTTCTCAGTGCTAAGGCCATCGAGGCTCTGTGCGGGGAGATGGGGGCCTTCCCTGGCCCACCCTGGAGGGGACCAGGGTGCAGGTGGGCTTTAGCAGAGGAGCAGGCTTCGCTAGCCAGAAAGAAACCCTTTGTGCAGCAGAAGAGTTCCACCTAAGGTAGACACACACTTGCATTTGCTTTCCATCCCCCCAGCTTGCTCTCACTTTGTGTCACATGGCTGGATTTTTGAGCGCCAGCTAAACTTTCTGCTGATGGCGGGACTGGAGGCTATGGCTAGCATGAGCCAGTTTGGGGAAAGGCCAGCTGCTTAAGAATCAAGAAATGCCTGGTCTTCTTTTGCTCTGATTCAAGGTGAGGGGAACCTGCTGGGGTGGTGGCACATGCCTGCAGTTCCAGCTCCACGGGAGGCTGAGGCAGGAGGAGCACGTGAGCCCAGGAGTTAAGAAGCCAGCCTGGGCCACAGAGCAAGACCTCATCTCAAAAAAGAATTGATTAAAAAAAGCAAGGAACCTAGTATTTACTGGTCTCCGCTTACCATGATTGACCAATTCTTTTAAATATTTTTCTTTCATCCAGCCTTGACAAAGTTCTGTGAAGTACAGGGTGTCATCCCTGTCTGTGGAGGCAACCTGCCCCACGGGGCACTTACAGGAACTGAATGAGATGTTGCATATCAAGGACTTGGAATAGGGCCTGGCAAAGAGAGGACAGCCAGTTGGGAACTTTCCTTTTCTGATTGACTCTCTCTCTACACATATATGTATGTTTTCAGAGGGGGTCTTGCCACGTTGCCCGGCTGGCTTCAAACTTACGACCCTTCTGTCTCAGCTTCCTGCGTAGCTGGGATTCCAGGTGTGTGTCACTGTGCCCCAGGATTAGAGAGTATTTTAAGCAACTGTATTTGGTTGTGTTTTGGATTTGGGTGAAAGGAAGATGAGAAGATGAGGAAAGGTGTTTTCTTGGACTAATTTCTAAATGCTTGGCATTTCTCTGTGGTTAGTTTTGCTGTCACCAACACCTGGTGTCACTTTATGGCACTCCTGGGCCAACTCTTCCGTCACCTCTGTCATGACGATTGAGCTGGGCTGATCCTCAAGCCTTCTGCAGGGAGGTTGCAGAATCTAGGAGAGACCGGATAGGGCCCTTGCAGGGTAGCCCGTGGCAGAGGGAGCCTCTGCAGGAGGTGCCTGTCCTCCAGCTTTTTCATTTCTTTTTGTTCCCAAATGATTGCTGTGAAGTTGGCAAAATTGAGACAACATTTTGTAGTCTCATCACTGGACTGAGATTTCTAAAATAAATTGTAAAATTCTAAATCCCATCTGTAATTGAGGCTCTTGGAGAAACTGGAAAGTGACTGTCCCATGAGACTCCGGTCATTTCCCTGAGCACGTGGGATGCTTCTCAGGTGGGTGGGGACAGAGGTGAGTTCACACCGCAGGCCTACTGAGCAGACTTAAGTGTGAGCCCCTTCCAGTGAGAATACAACTTCATCAGAAAGTGCTTTATAAAACAGTACACTTGGCAATTTTTTTTAAAAAGACACAAAAAAGAAGTACTTGCCTCTTGTTATTTAGTGTTAAGATGGCAACACTCAATTTTAATAGCAAATGTGGAGATAAACTTCTCTAGTAGAAAAACACAATCGCAAAGCCTTGTTAGAAAGCAAAAGCAGTTTATCTATTCCCTCTAAATACTGGCCACGCAGGATTGCACGTTAGCAAGAATAAACTCACTCAGAATACCATAAGAATGCAAGAATCTAGCAATGGCCAAGTGGACACCTGTTCCTCAGATCTGAAACCAGCAGAGTTGACACCGGTTTGCAGGCAGGGCTGCCAAAGGCTTTCCCTGGACGACCAAGGAGGAATCCCATCCACCGAGCCGGGAGCAGAAGCAAACTCCGTTCAGCTTTCACAGACAAGGTTGGCAAGGAGCCCAAGGCCTTGCCTCCCTGATCTCCACCACCTTCAGGAAAAAAAAGGGGCATGTGGCCATGTCAGTGTCACTCAGGAGACCCAGAGTGGGCTTGAGCAGCACAGGAGCTGGTGTAGAAAGCATCCTTAGTCTCTGGCGGTGACTGATCTGTTTGTGAAAATCTTCTGCTGTTTGTTGTGAGTGGCCTCCAGAGAGTGACGGAAAGATGAGCTGGGAGATGAGGAGGAAGAGGACGAGGAGCACGCCCAGCCGGCTCAGCTAGCTTTCGGCACGTTCCAAGTCAGCTCCACACACTTGAGTGCTGATCTTTACTGATGAGATGTCCTCAGGATGTTGGGAACACAGGGACTTTTCCTGGGGAAGGCTCGCATTACTCTGGGCAGGTGAGTTGTCCGCTCTTTTTGGCTGGCAACCAGAGAGAGCGAGCTTGGCGGCTGCTCACGGGTCTCCACCAGCTGGCTGGGCTGGCCCGTCTCCTCCAAGTTGGAACAGATGGGAAACCAGTGCTCATTAGCTGGTTGTTCTAATGAAGCTTCTTTTTCTCCTGCTTAACTATGGATTAAACTGCTTCTGTCCGAGGTCATGGGAGGAGGTAGCTGTAGAAAAAGCGTGAACCTGGCTCTGGACCATGGCCATGAGGAATTCAGAGCCTCTGCTGAGTCTCCCCCTTGAAATTGGTTCCCTGCCTCATTGTATGGAAATGAAGTTTTAAAGGGGTATCATGGAATATTCAAAAAAGGAAGTTATTTTAAAAATTTAAACATAAAGTGTTAGAGAACACTATTTTTAAAGTTTGGTAGAAGATATAGGAAATGAACTCTAAATTTATAAAGTGTGAGACTCCCAGCTCCAAGGCAGCCCACCTTCGATTTTGACCTCACCAAGAGTACCTGGACCTCTGGTGATGTGGACACTTCTTTTATATTTTGAGGGAGGAACTATGTTGCCCCAACTGGCCTTGAACCCTGGGGCTCGAGTGATCCTTTTGCCTTCAGCCTCCCAAGTGGCTGGCATGGCTGGGATTGCCAGGCCCAGCTTCCTTGGAACCCTTCCAGTGAGGCCAGGTTGTCCTGGGAAGTGACCTGCCACATCCCTGCCTCTTCTGGGTTCTTCTCCAGCAATTAAGATTTACTTTATTGGTCCCAGAGGCAGCAAGGAAGCCCTGCAAATCCCAACCCTGTGACTATCTATTTCCATGTCTGACGGGGAGCCCAGAGCCATGTTGCTGGTAGCAAACTAGATTCTATGTCTGCTCAGCTGGACCTAGAGATGTTCCATTGAAGCCGAGAAAGAATGGACCTCTCTGGCCGTGCAGACAGCCCCTCCCAGAGGCCCTGCACGGAGAGGCTCAGGATGGATGTTCTGCCGCCTTCGAGCTGACAAGCCCTCTGAGCTGAGAGACAGGGAAGGTGCACAGGAGAGACTTCCCCTGGGGATGGGAAGCCTGCAGAGCCACCCACTGGGAAGTTTGGGAGGGAGATTTGGGCAGTTGTTTTAATCTGCCAAAAAGTATTTGAGCTGAAGCCAAGCTAAAAGTACATCGTCTCCGTGGAGGCCACACCCGCGCTCCTCTGTGCCCGGCATGCCAGCTTGGCAGTGTGGCAGGAGCATGGCTAACTTAATTAATCTTGAGAACAAACCTGGAGATGAGACTTCTGTGCCTCTGAGAAGGACGTGCCAGTGCCCTCTTCCCCAGCATGCACTGGCCAGTACTTAGAAAGCTCACAGGATGAGCCCAGGTTGCTAATCCAGCCCTGGACGCAGCCTTGGGACACTGGGCAGGAAAGACTTTTTTTTTTTTTTTTTCAATTTAAAGAAAATTATTTTAGTTGTTGATTGACCTTTATTTATTTATATGTAGTGCTGAGAATTGAACCCAGTGCCTCACACATGCTAGACAAGTGCTCTGCCACTGAGCCACAACCCAGCCCAGAGAAGGAGAACTTCTTTTGGCAGACTCTTGTGGAGGTGTCCTGGGGGTGGGGGAAGAAAACTGTTGCTCTCTCCTTGGTGCCTCTGAATCCCAGCTTCCCCTTGGTGTTCAGCCTATGAAGAGGCTTGGGAGTGGCTGAGGGAGGGTCTGTTTAAGGTACTGTTCTTGGTGAGGATCAATTCAAAAGTGATTTCCAGTGATTTTCTGCAAAAATATGGCCATCAACTGTGCATGTGTTTTGAGCTGGTCGAATAGTGGGGATGATTGTAGTCAACCATTTATACCCTTTTTGCCAACTTTTTTTTTTTTTTTTAATTGAGGTGACCTGTCACCAAAGCGTGTGGTCTGGCATGGAGTCCTCTGGGTAAAATATTAGCACGATGTCCCTTTCCTCATTGTGGCATTATTCTAGGAAAAAAAATGACTGATGATCCCCAGACTTCAAATGAGCTAGTGAAACTGCAGTTCGTTCCTATTGAAAGCCGTTGAGAATCTCTGCTTTGAAGGTCTGGCCTCAGTGATATAAAATGTGTATTGTGTGTCCATGTCTGCCACACATGTGCCTCCCCTGTGTATCACACAGGTGCTTTGCACATCTGGGCACACACAACATCTGGACACACAGAGTGTATCCTCACATGTATGAGCATCACATGCATCCCATACCTGTGCTCTGTCATGGTGCCAGTGCATGCTGTCATGCTTGAGTGTGTGTGAGTGTGTGTATGTGTGTATGCATGTGCTAGGGAGCACAGAGGAGGATCTGAGAGGCTGAGAGCACTGTCCCTGTCTCCTGAGAAGGGGATGCTGGTCAATGTCAAGCCTTGGTTATGTTGAGCGAGGACGATCTGGGTTTCTTGTTAGAACATCATACTCTTTGGGACAGTGTCAGCTCGCTCAGCAATGGACATCTCTGACTGGGGATGCCTCTGAAGCAGGGGAAGAGCTGCCCAGGAATGGCACAATGTGTCCTGTGGCACCTGGTGTGTGGTCCCCTGAGACCAGCAGTTCCCCCCAGGGCTCCGTAGTGGCCACTTTGCAATCTATTCTTTGTAAGGAGCAGCGTCCCGTGCTAAGGCAGTCTTATTTGGTAAAACTGGCAGTCCCCAGGGCTAGGCTCACCTGGGCTTCCCTTTCTCCCTTTGGTGACCTCCACCACAAAGGGACCTTCTTTGCTGCTTAATCAATTGGAGGTGCCTGTTACCAAATAATTGGGGTGGCCATGGCTGTGGGATGGCATTTCAGGTTTCTCTGTATGTGGCCTAGCATCCCATTCCCTACCAGGCTTTCCTAAGGGACAGGGCAGTTGATCTCTAACCAGGACATTTTTTTCTGTTTCCAGTCCTGGCAGCCATGGGAATAGAAGCAAACCCCCCACCCCACTAGGTGCCAGTATCCAAGCTAAGAGGTCCTTTCTTCCCCTGGGCTGTCCCGAGTGACACAGGGAAAGGGAGAGATGGTTCAGGGAGCCTGTCTGCTTGGGCTCCACCCCCCAGAAGCTGAGCGTGTGCCCTAGGCTCTCTCATGCTTAAAATCTCTGTGAACAGGAGGCAGGTGTTCGCTGGCCGGTGACCCAGCTACAGCATTGCATTTTAATGACATCACACTCACTTCTGATCTTAGGAGAATCAATAATGCTTCTAGTCGGCAGGGTTAGGTCTGGGTTAATATTTAGCTCTGTTTTTAAGCACAATCCAGATACACAAGGCCCAAGACATCCACAGGGGAGCGGCTGGATGGTGTGCAGTGCTCAGTGGCTGCTGAGGAGGAAGCCACATGGCTGTGGGATGGCTGGGCTTGAGAGTGGCCTTGGGGGCTTGGGGGTAAAAGCTTGTCCTTGAGATGTGAGTTGAAGGTCATTCAGTGAACTTTCTGTCCACCTTTTCTAAATCCTAAAATGGATCAAGAAATAGTCTGTTAATTTAAAAGAAAGAAAAAGTAACAACAGGCACGAGAGCACAATGGTTCCAAGCCACAAGAGAGCGTATCACTGGGAAAGTACTTTGGGAATGAGGTGGTGCGAATTACCTGAATCAGGTAACTGAGAGCTACAAAAGTTTCCAGCTTTGAGTGGAATACAATCCTCTACTTTCTAGATGAGCTGCTGGGAAAAAAAAAAAAAAATGAGAAACTCTGCCAATGAGGAGGTTCCCAGAGATTCTCACGTTATAAGCCAAACAAGCACTTAGGTAAAGGTTTGCTTTGATAGAATGTGTGATGGTAAATCCCATGTTTTTGAATCTAGCAAAAATGTGGATGAGACAAATGATTGATTTATTACTTATAATGCTGAGCTTGTCAGCTACTGTGATATTTTTTCTTTATTCTTCGGTAGTACTGGGTACTTTACTGGTGAGCTACATCTCCAGCTCTTTATTTATTTATTTTTTGAGATAGGTTCTGACTAAGTTTCTGAGGCTGTCCTTGAACCTCTGATCCTCCTGCCTCAGCCTGGCTGCAGCTATTGTGGTACTATAAGGACACACACTTCAGATACACAAACCAGGCTTTCCACCAACCTTTTGATGATTCTCTTGCCCCCTGTCTTCAACAAGGCCAAAGTTCCTGTTGTCCTGCTGCTGTAACTCCCAGTGTCCAGGCAGCCCTTGGCTTCCTCTCCAGACCAGCCACCAGGCTGTGTGCTCTCCCAGCACTGTGCTCTCCCAGCACTGTGCTCTCATGGGGACAGCTGGGGCTGAGGGCTTCAGCAAGCAGAACTCATACTCCATCAAGAAGAGGAGGTCAGATTGGTATAAGCAGATGGACTTGAGGTCACGGTCAGCTCTGGAAGTCCCATCCGCCAGCCCCCGTTTTCCTCTCTGCCTGCATGCACCATCCACTGTCTAAGCCCACGTTCCAACTCCATATCCACTGTCACCCACCGCCCTGTTACTGAAACGCAAGTCACCATCATTCAGCCCAGGCCCCAGGGTCAGCGTGTCCTTCTGAGTCCACTGGGTTTAAGTAGCGCTTAACTGTCCATGCTAGAGGAAGGTAAGGAGTGACTAGCACAACTCAGCCATCAGATACTCCACAATCGGTGGGCTGCGTTACTTCTTATTCCCTCTCAGTATATCCAGCAGGTTTATTTTCATTTGAGGCTAAAATTACATTTTTAAATTAAAATTAGGTTAACGGTTACATGAATAGGTTTATTTCCTCTTTTGGGTAAGAGAAAACCTGAGAGCAAGTCATCCTTGAAAGAGGTCTTTTGAAAAGTGGAGAACACATTTCTGTGTAGTGGGACCTGATTACGTATTGGGATGAAATTAGAGCATGGGTCTTATAGACCCCTTCCTTTTGCTTTTGGATGACCCTCCTGTTGATGAGTGCCCCCAGGGACTGGGTGTGCCTTTCATTTTGAGGTTGTTTATGGTGGCTGCTTTGGACCCTGCCTCCCGGGGTTTCTCTGTTTGCATAGACATGGATACTATGGAATTACTCTTTTCTTCAAAATGATTTCTACCAATTCTTGCTCCCTTGGCATCATTTCCGTAAGTTAAAAAAAAAAAAAAAACAACCAGCATTTATTCAAAGACATAAAATAATGGTAAAATTGTGTTTATAGTGTTTCCTCCCAAACCTCTGCTTATTTTTATTAAAAAAAAAAAAAAAGTCATTCTCCATTAAGTGTGTTGCCAGGAAGCCAGCCCTGAGCTGGACTGGCAGCGAGCTTTGCCTTTAGCAAGGGTGTGGGATTTCACTGCATCGGTGTTTTTTTTTGCAATGACTTTCTTAGTAACCTTAGTTTATAATTGCACCTCTTTTTATTTTTGCACAAATTCATTTGTTGATCATAACTCTTATCAAACATATTTTTCTAAGCCACGACAAGTACTTTTGGAAACGAGGAGGTGCGAAGGACATAGAATAAAGTCAGCCTGCCCTCCAGGAGAGCCACAGCGGGGCTGCCAGCCCTATCAGGGAGCCCAGAGAGGAAAGCTTTTTTTTTTAAATATGGTAAAATCTATACGAGATGTTAAGAGTGATGCTTTCCTATAAAAGCCAGACATGGTGGCATCTTGCAAACACCTGAGTGTATATTTCTTCGTATTCTGGGGATGGTGCCCAGTCAGTGGAAGGAGGACTGTTTCTTCTTATCACTTGTACATAGGCCCAGCTACAATTTGGGGAATAAAAACCCCTGATGGTGTGAAATGCCTGTCTACAGCAGTCCCTGGGGAAGCTCAGAGGGTCCAGGGCAGTAACGATCTGACAGTTATACACCGAGTGGGGAATAAGGTATCAGGGCAGTGCCTGTGAGGGCCGGGGCTCCTCCAACATACCCCTATACATAGAGTTTAGCTGTGTGTGTGTGTGTGTGTGTGTGTGTGTGTGTTTTGATACCAGGGATTGAACCCAGGGGCGTTCAATCACTGAGCCACATCCTCTGCCCCCTTTATTTTCTATTTTGAGATAGGGTCTCAATAAGTTGCCGAGGCTGGCCTCAAACCTGCAACCCTCCTGCCTCAGCCTTCTGAGTCACTGGGATTATAGCATGCACCACCATGCTGGCTGTGTGTGTGTTTTATGAACAATATCCTCACATCTCTAGTATACATTGTGATTTTTGTTAATGCCCAGCCTTGTGGAAAGTCCTTAAAAAATGCTTTGAGGACTTGTTGAATTACATTTCCATTTTCTTTCACTAGGAAGCCATGTCTGGCATTAAAAAAAAAAAAAAAAGGCAGTTTCATGGTTTCTAATGAAAGTATAATTTTGCTTCATTCTTATTTTTATTTTGGGGAAATAAAATCGTTTCCCCTAGTCCAATTTTTGCCTTTCAGGTTAGTTGTTTCCCTCTCTGTGGCTCCCTAATAAAGAATAAAGCAAATTGAGAAGAAGAAAAGCCCGATCTTATGATAAAGCAGGCTTTGTGTTGATAAATCGATGATTGATGACCACAAGCATTTCGATCCTTTGGGTAAATGAATAACTGATTGTATCTGAGAACAGGAAACTCACAATTTATATCCTGGGTCTTCGGCTGTCTTCTCCCTTCCCCCTCCTGAGTTTGACCTAGCTGTTTGAAATCAATGCAGAAGACACCCAGGGGAAGAGGCAGGTTTGGGGAGACTGGAAGCTTAGGTAACAGGGGTGGCCCTCTTAAGAGAAAGAATACAAAAATATCTCACTTTCACAATATTTTACGAAAGCAACATGACCCACAGGAACAGAGCGTTCAGGTTTGTCCTGGGCTCGGAAAGGCCCGGGGAGAGCCATCCTGACACGTAAAGCTTGTTGGCTTCCCGCTAAGTCCATTTCCTAGGGTTCCATACTGTGGCTCATGTCCTGGGCACTCTGCACGCTTCAGTTTGCTGCTCTTGTACTGAACACAAGGAGTGTAAAGCGATGACTGTACAAACACTCAGCAGGAATATACAAATATAAATATAAGAACACACTTTACACAGCAGGCTGGAAGTTCACAGACACGCACATAGGGTTGTTTTTTTTTTCTCTTTTTGTTGAACTTGAGCATCTCTCAAGGTCATAGGTCTCCAGACTTTGAATTGTCTGCCTGCACTTGAGTGTTCACTTAAAGGGGAGGTAATCAACGTATTAGTTATCTACCAGACAAGCCCATTCATTCGCTGTGCTGTGACTTGGGCTCAGGCCCATCGGACCTCTATCCTAGAAGCCAGGTGTGCCGGTGGGAGGAGGGAAGAGCGGGTGAGAAGGGAGTCCTTTGCCCTTGGGCTGAGTTTGTTTTGTTTTGTTTTGGATTTTGTTTGGCCAGGCAATTTAGATACTGGTTTGGAGGTCTCCGTTGAGGAGGGTCCTCTGAGTCTCTGTGGTCTCATTCAGCCGGGATTTGTCCTGCTTGCTGTCGCTCCGTTCCCCGTCATCTGTGCCACTCACCTTGACCAAGCAGAGGACGTTCTGGAAGCTCTTCTTGAAGTTGTCAGACAGGAAAGCATAGAGGATAGGGTTGGCACAGCTGTTGGCGTAGGTGAGGACCACCACAAAGTCAAACATGCCTTTGAGGGCCGGGGTGGGGTCGATGGCCACGGTCACGGAGGACACGTTGAATATGTAGAAGGGGAGCCAGCAGAAGATGAAGACGGCCACCACTATGGACACCATTCGGGTGACCTTCTTCTCGGACTTTTTCCTCTTAGAGGAACCTACTCGGATGCCAGAGGACTTCACCTTGATGATAATGAACAGGTAGCAGAGACAAATGATGGTGAGGGGGACCAGGAACCCCAGGATGAACGCATAGATGATGAACCCCGTGTACCACGCCCCAGATTCACCTGGCCAGTTGATGGTGCAGCTGCTTTTCCCCCACTGGTTGCTCCGAAGCCCAGCATAGATCATGATAGGCAAGATGACCAGCAGAGAGACCCCCCACACAGCCACGTTGATCATCTTGGCTGTCCGGGGTCTCCTCCACTTGGCCGACTTGATGGGGTGGACCACAGCCAGGTAACGGTCGATGCTCATGACCGTCAAGCAGAAGATGCTGGTGAACTGGTTGATGCCATCCACAGTCATGACCACCCGGCAGATGGCCTTGCCAAAGGGCCAGTGGACCAGCGCCACCTGCATGGCTAGGAAGGGCAGCCCCAGCATGAAGAGCTCATCGGCAATGGCCAGGTTGAGGATGTAGATGTTGGTGATGGTCTTCATCTTAGCGTAGCGGAGGATGACGTAAATGACAAGAGTGTTGCCACAGAGACCGATGATGCAGACCACGAAGTATATGAAGGTGAGGACCGCATTGCTGGTCATGTCGTAGTACGGCTCTGTCTTGTTGGAGTTGTTCGCTGCGGTTGCAGAGCCATTGAGGTCAAAGGGGGAGGGCGGCCATGCCTGGCTGTCATTGAGTTGCTCGTACACCGTCTCCATGGCTGCTTTTCAGTCTAAGCCAAGAGCCAACCTGCCCCCGATCTTACTCCCCCCTCAGTGAGCCCTGGAGGCCAAGGGTCCACGGTGACATCTGGAAGGAAACAAGATGGGCCCAGCAGTCAGTCACCAGCTGTTGAAACCCTGGCCAGCTTTCCGCATTTCTGGCTTATCCTCTTAGATGTACTCTTAAATGGGAAAAGGTGTTATCTTTCTGTGCCAGTGTCAAAGCCACCAGCCCTGCGCAGACCTTGAGGTTTTTCCCAATAGCGGGGGAAGGGCAGGGCTAAGCCGTCAGCAGATGATGCACTTCTAGGGGGTGCTGTGGCTTCCTCCCTGCCATACTTTGACCTCTAAGGAGTTGACTGTGCAGCTACAAGAAGGCAGAGAGTTCCAGTCTCCGGGCTTAGAGGGGCCTGGTGCTGGCATCTAGAGCCCTTTCCCTTGAGGGAGTCCCTGTGGACTGCCGGCTGCGTGGGACTCTCTCTCTCCTGAAACCAACCCCGTGGTGGGAACCCCCAGACCTTGGCTCCCCTGTGGAGCCCATGGGACTCATGCCCAGCCATCCCCTGCTGGGCCCCACTGGGTTGCCTAACATGCGAGTCATGAGGGAGGGCACACAGAGCCTCGGCATGAGTGGGGCTCATGACGGGAACCTCAGAAGTGTTATCCCCCCACCATCTCATTATGTCTAATTTATTGAGTCCTGCCCACACAGTGAATCAATTTATAGTCTTCAATATTAAAAATAAAAGTCTGGCTTGCTTTCATTTTGTTTTTAAATGTGTGCTTCAGTTTAGTTTTTCTTTTTCCATTTCTGTATCTCTGACCCCAAATGCTTGACTCTCTTGTGTAGCAGAAAATGCTTCCCTAATGTCCCTGAACTGGGTGCCACTCCAGAGTGCTAACAACACACAGATTTCATCTGCAGTCTCCTGATGGAGGACAAAAATGGGAGCCAGGCGAGGGCCGAGGGATTCAGTCTCTTCACTGATGTGAACAGAAAATCACAAGCTCCGAGGTGGTTCATTCACACCCACATCCCCTTCATCTTCCCAGCCGTGGCCGGAGGTGGGGATAATTGTCCCTGTTTTAAAGATGTGGAAACTGAGGCTTAGGGAGTTGAAGCGACTAGCTTTTATAATTGGTAGTGCTGGGATTTGAACACAGGCCTCCTGACCCCAAGACTTCCACGCTTTCTACAGCATCACATCTGCTGCTCAGTGGGCTGGCAAATGAGGGGCTGGTAATTGGGTTCGGGTTTGAAGCAGCTGACTCCTGCATTACTACCTCCATGCTGAGAAACATAACTCTAGCACTGCTGGCTTGGCTTAGGGTATAGAACAATATGTGATCCCATGATGAAATGACTTATCTACAGTTGTTCAAAAAACATCACTGGCTGCTGGGTACAAAGACAGGGCAGGTGCCCTCTGGGAGGTGATCATTTATCAGGAGACGCAATGAAGCCGGTTGACACAGGGTGTGAGCTGCTTGGAGCTAGGAACAAGGGACCTAGGAATGCCTTTCTTCCCTGGAGGATCAGAGGCAGCTTCATAAGACAATTTTGGAGCTGGGGTCTTGAGTAGATGAAGAGGGAAGCAATAGAACAGGGCAGGAAGTGACTCCAAAAAGAAGCAAGATGGCCAGGGGTGGTATGCCCAGGACCACTTGGCCCCACTAGGCGAGCATGTTTCCTCTAAGTAGGATGCTTTTTCTGGTGCCTGAAGATAGATGGGTGAGTGCTTAATGCCCAGAGAGACTGTAGAGACGTTAAAGGAGATGTCACCAGCAACCAGTACTTGAGGGTCCTTGCCCACCTCTGATTCATTCTGTACTGCCAGGCGCCTTTCTTATTTTTTTATGCTAATTTCCTCAATCACACACTGTCCATGGAGTGAGGTATGGCCTTCGTGGCTAATCTTTTTTGCACAGAATTTTGGGGAACCAGGATTTCATGTCTATGTGGGGTAAAAATGCCAGCTGGCGGCTCTTAAACCCAGAAGCTATAAAGAAACTGTTTTAGTATCTCTGCATTTACTTGGATTGTTTGCACTATCGTTTCCAACCATCTCCTCAGTTACTCAATTCTACAGACCCAGAATCTTATCTGAATTGCCCACAGTGGGAGTGTACATTAACCATCAGTCCTGCCAGGGTGGCATCTGGGTACCATGAATGGTCATCCTCCAATGCCAGGGTAAGACCAAAGACCCTAGGGGCTACAAGAAGCTCTTTCTAGAGCTTTTGAGATGTTGCTGGTGCAGCAGGGGAGAGGGAGCCTCTCATGCCACCCTCTAGCCTTAACTCCTCCCTTTCCTCTGCACGGGGGTCAGTTCCCCTCCCCTGAAATAGTTTGAGAAAGCCTATTTTGAAAGGTAGCCACTTTTGAAAGGTAGCTCAAGATGGGGTTGGAGCCTTGATGAAGGTGAGGGACATGGTAGGCTGGAGCCAGGAAGACGCTCCTGGGAAGAAATGGCTTAAATCACGGCAAAGGTTTTTAACAAGGAAATCTGAGTGATTTCTGCTTCATGGTTGTCCCACGAAAAGTGGATTCCAAATGCCAATCCACCAATACCTGTTGGATTTTGGTTAAAATTAAATACGAGGAAGTTTGATTATCTGCTTTATTTTTCCAGCCTAAAAGTTTTTAGATACTGGAAATGCCTTGTTGTTGGTTTCCCCTGAGACCCAGCAGTTGGAGAGGAGGGTAAGACTGGCCTCTGGCATCTGTCCAGGGGGGCTGCCCATTCCACCTCCAGAAATGAGACTCGTGATAGGGACCTGGCTGCAGTGGTGATCCTAAAACCCACTCTGCCAATCTTTGTGGCATCCCCCTGCCCCCTTTAGTTGTCACTCCCACCTCCCCCGGAGCCTGCTAACCTCAGTGGCAGAGAGACAGCAGCCCAGCATCTAGTGCTAGAGCACCAAAGGAGAAGCCCTGGGGCGCTGACCAAAAGGGTTGGGCCTCAGGAGGTGAGTCCCAGGATCCTGGAGGAAAAAAAAAAAAAAACCTCCGCTGATCAAGTCGCTGACCCTCCGGAGCAATGGTTTCCTACAGGATTCTCTAACATTTCTAGGGAGACAAAAGGGCAGCGAAGACTGAGAACCAATATGTCCAGCCTTTAAACCCAGAGGTGGGCTATGGAGCCAGGGACAGCTGGGAGTCCTAACAGTGGCTTGGGGACATGGCCATGCCAGCATTAGCTCTCTTCAGTCTCTGCCTGAGGGCCTGGGCTGGACCCCCTACAAATCCGGGTCCACTTCCCCAGCCAGCCAAGAAAAAGAGGAGAGAATCCCCTTTCCTCCGCTGAGTGCTCCAATCGCCTGCCACTCCTGGGCTCAAATCTCTCGATCTCTAAGGCGTCCTCAGTAGCCCCAGGGTGGCACCCGAGCCCTGCTGGCCTCGCTCTCTTGCGCCAAGGCTCTTTTGCGGGTGGCTAGGAGATAACTTGTTCCCCGCATCTCAGCTACCACCAGGATAGGGCTGCAAAGCACACGCCAGGCGCACACGGGCAGGGGCTATCCAGACCAGTCTGTTCCAGCACACACGATAGCTCCCCCTACTCACGCCAGGACACCTGCTTTCGTTCATTTCCACCACACTCACCCCCAGCGAGCACCGGGCAGAGAATCCGGCACCCGAACCTGCGCTCGGTCGCGCAGATGGGCGCACTGTCACCAGCGCTGATGCACACAGGTGCCGAAGTGCGCTTCTTGCTCCTACATCTCCATGTATGTGGCTCTGTGTGTCACACACACACACACACACAAGCACACACGGGCACGCACACAACCTTACCTTGCTTTTTCGGGTAATCCGTTAAGTGGGCTCACCAGCCCTCAGTAACTGTCCCCTGTCCAGCACAGCGCCCAGGAGCGCAGCTCTTGGCGGGTGGCTGGCGCTCGGCGTCCAGGGCTTCCGGCCCCTCCGCCTCCCTTGAGCTGGCTGGTGTTTGCCCCTTTCACGTCCCACAGCCAGTCTGGTCCGCTGTCCGCCCGCGCCGAGCCGCGGACTGGCGCTCTGCGGGCGGGTGGCCTTGGGAGCGCGCGCGCGCGCGCGCGCGCGCTGGTGGCTGCGCCGCTTGGACTGGCCCAGCTGGGCAGGAGCCCCTCGGCACATTTCCCCACGCCCCCCTCTGATTACGTCACTGCAGCTTCGCTCCGCCTGCCGGGTCCTGTAGGAGGACCCGGGTGAGACAAGTGGAGAATCCTGCGGGTGGCTGCGGGCAGAGCTGGCGGGTACGGTTGGGGTCGGGGGTGGGGTGGAGAGGGGACCCGCATGCACGGTCGTGAAGGGTGAAGCGGTTTGTCTCTTCAAGACTCATGGCAGGGACAAGTATTGCTTTCCTCCGGTTTCATAGGATCGATTCTGTATCACCCAAAATATTCCAGGCAACTGGAGTGGCGTCCCGGGTGACCCAGACTCGCTCAGGGATCTCTGCAATTTTCTAAGTCACACAAGTTTGCAAAGTGGTGTCTACCAGGGGCAAGCCCTGGGCATAGGATGCACAGGAAAGGGCAGAGAGAAAAAGCTCCTCACGCCGTCATCAGTGCCTGCGGGAGCTGCACCTGGATTCCGAGAATCGCTCAGCTCAAGGAGCCATCAGAGGCTCAGTGGAATGGAATGATCCAGGTTCCACAGCTCAGGGGTCCAAGAGCTCTACAGCCCCCTTGCTTTAGCCTGTCAGTCAGCACTAGCCCATAGGACATGGCAGCCCCTCTTCCTACGTGCTCACGTGCAGGGAGCAAAGAGGACCGGGCAAGAAGAAGTGGGAGTTGTGTCGCATCAAGTTGCAGCTATTTATTTTTTGACTGCGATGATTCAGCCTGTGTTCCAATAGTTTAATAAGTCATAATCAATCCACAGCCTCTCTTTACTCACCGTCCTCCAAGCACACACACACACACACACACCAACACACACACCTCAACACACACACCTCAACACACACACACACACACACACACACACACACACACACACACCACTCAGTACAGTTTAGAGGATAGGAAGTCAGAAAGCAAACCCCAGTTAGCCTTCTCTGTGGGCGGAGCTGCCTTGGTCTGTCCATTCTGTTTTCCAGCTCACCAATGAAAGGCAAAGTCCAGAGCTATTTAACAGGTGAGATGAGCCCTGAAGAAAGGAATGAGCCTGGCAAAGGAATCAGTAGCAGCTCACTGCTTGGAAGGATAGAGTCAGGGGCTTCTAGTCTTCATCTGTCTCTGGGCTGCTGGTCATCCTGGAGCTAGGGGCTGGAGGAAAACAGCCAGGGACTGTCTGCTCTCCCAGCCTCGCTGGGAGTCAGTCTGTCTGTAGATTTGTGTGTGTGTGCAAGAGGGGCAGGGGCAGGCAACTCATCAGAAGAGGGGAGTGTCCCTGCTCCCTGTCCACTGGAAGAGGGAGAGGCCATGGAATTGAGCTCAGAGAAACTGCATCCCGCGGCAGCCCAGGTGTGATAATGCCTATTCCCACCTCTAGCTTAAAACCCATACCTGCCCTGGTTTCCAGGGAAAGAGGGGGCGAAGGGAGCCAGGAAGTACCCACTCTGCCTTCAAATTTCCTTAACTTTTTTCCTGTAAAAGTTCTCCAATGGTATGGAAAATTCATGTATCATTTGAAAAGAATAAACATCATTTTCAGCCCATAAAGAAATGAACAGCTGGCTCGGAGTGCCTCCTCCCCCATGGAGGTGACCCCTATGACCCTGCGTGGTTTGGAGATTATTTGTTTTTATATAAGTACCACCATCCAAAATAGGTGGCTCCTGAAGGGTCAGCTCAATAGGCACCCCCTCTTGAGACAACTGGGGTGCCTCTGTGTGCTCCCATGGAATCCCCCCCATGCACTTTCCTTGGGAAGTTTCCCGCCCCCCTTCCCCTGTCCTGCATAGGTTATGTTGGGCAGGCACAGCCTGGAACAAGTCCTGGCCCTGTGGGTCTTTCCTGCAGCTGGCCCAGTGGGATCTGAACAGATTGACCCCAACAACAGAAAATGTGTCATCCAGAACAACTGTTGATTTTTAGCCGGATCATTGATGCTTCCCTGTCCCCACTTGCCAATGCCTGGAGAGAGCCGTGTGACTGAGCTGCCCCCTGTCCTCTGTGGCGACCTCAAATTCCTATTCCCTGTTTGATTCCTCCTGGCTGGCCACCCCCACACGCTCCTGTGGGCAAAGAGAAGTCCAGCTCTCCTTCCTCTGTGGCTCTGTTAGTAACTAAGTAACAAAGGCTTGAGTCAGAAAAATAGAGGGGTTGGGGAGGAGATAACCTCCACTCTGGCTTGTTCCCTATCTTTAAAGCAATTAAATAACACCTTTCCCCCTTTCAGCACTTATCAGAGGGACAATAGGTGGCAGGAAATTAAGAACAGGGTAGGACAAAGGGCCAGGCCTGGGCTCTAACACAGGGAGATATGCTCATCTCACTCTTGCCTTGAGAAGATTCTCAGCTAAGGCACTGAACTCCCAAGAAGGTCATTGCTTCTCTTAACTGCTTAATAAATTAAATGTAGAAAATTGTTACTTTGCAATCAATTTGGTGAAAGTAAATATCGAAATTAAGCCTACAGGAAAGCAAGCGGCCCAGGAGAAGAGTTGGATATGGTTGGGAGTGTTAGATGCCAGCGAGCAGTCAGTGTGGTTTTATTGGTTTCCTGGGATGCCTGGGTGGGCCTCCGAATTTCTACCTTGGGAAGAGACCAACCTCCTGCTGTGCACAGTGCTGGGGAGGGGGTGGACGCTCAGAGGGAGGGGAGGTTCTTGAGTGATGGTCCTATTTCCAGGCTCCCTGGAATGTTCCTGTTTTCAACCATTCTGTCCCTTGTCCCCTGCAAACCATCTGCATCTTACCAGAACCGAAAGGTCAGCTGCCACATTCTCTTTCCAAGACTACCTTGTATCTGATGGCACGAAAAATCCTTTCTGCTGTCGTGGGTCTTGATGCCTGTCTAAAAATGGGGCCTAGTGGGTAAAAGTTCTCCTCCAGCACACAAGGGGGTAACCTGGGACCTTTCCAGAGTGTGTTTCCTGGCACGTTCGTTCTGTGAGAGCAGATGGGTCTGGGGGAGGCTGCCTGCCGCTCCCTGACTTGTTAGGACTACCTGGAGGAATCAAGGGACCATTATGCACATGGGGTGATGAGGTGCAGGTTATTATCTCAACTAACCCCTCCTCCTCTGTGGGACAAACCGTCAGCATTGTTGGTTTTGTCATTTTGAGAAGTCTTGCCATAGAGAAAACTGTTGATCTTCAACCCAGTCTTTCAGAATTCATCTAGCCCTAGGAACCTTTCCTGTAAACCATTTTCCCCCATGTTTATTCACTGGTGCATTGGAGTTGTACATATTGATGGGGTTTGTTGTTACACATTCCTACCATATGACAACACAATGTGGCCACTATCACTCCTCAGCTCATCTCCCCTCCTGCCTCCCC